GGAAATCTACATGGGACATGCTGAGTCCCAGGTGCCTTTTATGAACCAGGCGGAGATGTCCAGTCTGCAGTTGGATCCAGGCAGAGGATGGACGGAAGCTTTCAGTGTCGGTGTCTGACCTTCTGGAATCAAGTTCAGAAGGTCATCGCTCTCTCCAATGCCCCCATCTTATTGAGAATAAAACCCGGAGTCCCTTCGTGGCTGATAGGGAGGAAGGAGTACATGTGACACAAGCCCAGCCAAGCCTGGGGGCCTCACGGGAGGGCAGTCAGTTGGCATAGGGGACCAGTAGCGGAGGGCGGAGGGCGGAGCCGCACCCGAGTGGGCTGGAAGCCCTGAGAGCTTTAGTGGGAGGTGGCCCAGGGAGGCTAATTTCAGCTTATGGGGGTCCTGTATTGAGGAGACTTGCATGCTCTTTGTAAATATGGTATAATTTATAATAATGACCAATGACCCCAGGGCAGGGCAGCTGCAAGGACATAGGGGTCTATCGTCCCCTGATCCAAAAAACAAAGCAACAGACAAAAACTAGACAAAGAAAGAAAATAGAGGAAGCAAACAAATTACGAGCAAACCTCTCCTCCTCTCTGGCCTTAGCGGCCCCGATCAGTGCAGGCTCCGAGTCTGTGTACCCTCAGGACCCTTCCAGAACACAGCCCCTTGGGTTCCCAGAGGGCTCCAGCCCAGCCTTTGGGTGTCAGGGCCTTGGCATCTGCGGAGAGAGGGCCAGAGCTGGACTGAGAGCGCCGGCCATCGCCTTGCGCCCATGGCCTGTGTCACCACGTGCCATGGTAAGTGGAAGTGACGCCTCCCCAGAGATCACATTAACTCTGATAATGCTCCAGCCGCCTGCCCACCCACGTGCCCTCAGGCCACCGAGAGGGGCAGGGCGCCGGGCACAGAGAGAAGCCACATGGCCCCCCGGCTCTTAGACCAGAGATGCAGAGGGACACCTTCCCCTGAGCCCAGCCCCAGCCGGGCGTCCTCACGGCAGTGCCGCAGGAGTCTCTGCAGTGACAAGGCGGGACTCTCAGGACCTGCTCACTGGCCCTCTGACGCGTGCATGTGTGGGTCATGGGGCAGGGTGGGGGCCCCTCCTCCAGCCCTGCCCTCAGCCCTACACATGGTCACCCACCGCTCCTGCCGGTGAAGACCCGGCCCCATCAGCGTCCTACTGCCCGTCACGCTGCTCGGAGCCCTTGCTAGTGACTGGGGTGTGCTGGACCCGCACACCGGGCAGGCTGGGAGTGCTGGCAGGTAGGCACCCCGGGAGCAGCCTTAAGGATCCAATACCCCAGCTTTCTGGCCCGGGAATGGGACAACCGACGCTCGGTTCGTGTTGCCTCCCAGAGGTCCCCAGGAGGACTGCCCCTTGAGGTCCCCTCTTCTGTTTCCCTCCCCCTCCCCCGCCTTCCCTGCCAAACCTCCCCACCCATCCACCAGGGCCACCAGGGGCCACCTCCTAAATAAACGTCTTAAACTCAATTTGTTTCAGGTTCTGCTTCTGGAGGAATCCAACATCCACACCCTCATCCAAAGACACCCAAGCCAACCAACAACCGAGAGCTTTCCTAGGGCTGTTTTGTATACATTTCTGGAGCACTGAACTGTGTAACAGGACGTAACGGGCACTGTCCGTGTGCCGGTGGGGAAGTCACACAGATAACTGTTGGACAAATACACAAAGTGGCATAAAGGAGTTTACTCTGTTGTGGGAGGTGGCTATCAGGGAAGGCTTTACAGTGGCGGTGACATCTCACGTTTTGAAGGATGCATAGGAGTTCTCCAGGCAGACGAGAGAAAGACAAAAATAGCCTGTTAAAAAATCCAAAGGTGCAAAAAGGCACAACATGTCCAGGGAACTATTAGTAGTTGAGTACCTCCCCTGTTGCTAGAGAATAAAGCATATTTTGGAGATTATAGAGGGTTTGTAGAAAGAAGAGGAGGGGATTAAAATAGCCAGATATGTGGTTAAATAGACAGGCAGAATCTTGTCTGAATTGTCGAAGGTGTTCAGATGTTATCTTGGAAAGATTAGAGGGTTCAAAGAAATTTGGGGTTATCTTTTTCTGATTGCTTACGCATCAGATGCTCATCGTCAAAAAGTTGGCAGGTAAAGAAGTGTAAAGAAGAAAATAAAATTACTTCAAGTCAGAATTTAATTAAATCACGCAATGTCTTGCTGTCTCTCAGAGGAGTTTTAGGCAGAGGAGTAAGGTGATCAGACTTGAGTTTTAGAAAGAGCTCTGGCAGCTGGTGCACGTCAAGTGGCTGGAGCGGCACTGGCTGAGGGCGATGAGCCAGAGACGGACGGACGGTGGCAGGGCCCTCCGAGGGGCGCGAGGGATGCAGCCCCCGGCGGGAGCCCCGGGGCCTCACAGGGAGCCTAGAGGAGGGAGTCGCAGGGGGGCCGACCAGATGGGCCGGGGGGCCGGAGGAGAGGAGGAGCGCACGATCCATGATCAATCGCTAGGGAGCTTCTTTCTGAGGGTTCCCTTCCCCACCCAGTGGAGGGGGCGGGGGCTGGGAACCCAGAGACCTGAGTTCTCACCTCAGCGTCGCCGCTTCCAACCTGTGGAACTTCAGGCAGCTCCCTCGGCTCCTCAGATCTGAAAAATGAAACATGATTGCATTCCTGCTTTGCTCGCAGGCTTGACAAGGTAAACCCTGGCTCAGAGGCGATAACAACCTGTGGCCCCAGGCTCTCCTGGGACCTCTGCTCATTCCTTCCCCTGACCTTCCGCCTCCTCCAATCACCAGCCGCTAGGAGGCCAGGACAGACCCCTCGCTGTCCTCTCCTCTCCGATCCTTCACTGAGGACATCAGTCACCCTGGTCCCTCTGGGGAAAAATTCTCTAATCCTCCCCTCCCTGGAGGTCCATTGATTCATTCATTTTGTGTATAAATTGATGCCCTAGTGTGTCTGACGTGCTAGGAATTCAGTAGCGTGTAGGATGACGTCCCCACCGTCCTGGAGCTCATATGTCATCCGAGAGGAGACATGTACTAAACAAGCAAACTTACATTTGGATGGCGAGGTAATGAAGGGAATAGAACGGGGTGACGTGTCAGAGAGTGGCGGTGTATTTGAGATCGGGCAGAGGGAAGAGCATGCATAAAGGTCTTGGGGTGGCTGTGAGCTTGGAACGTTGAGAGGTCAGAGGTCGGCAGGCCTGGGCTTATGGAAACTCCTGCCTGTCCTACCTGAGTGTGGCCACCTCTGGGAAGCCTTCTTGGGTTACCACCCCACCCCTGGCTCGCTGACTCAGCTCCACCTAATTTCCATACCCTTGTGGCCACAGCAACCCTGACCACACCGGGTCATGACTGACTCTTTACACACAGAACTGTTCGCGCTTCCACGGCCGCGCTGGCCAGCCCGTTTGCTCAGGTAGCTAGCTGGTGATCCGCACCGGCCCGACGAACGAATCCACGAACCCACGGAGAAGCGCGTGCGTGGGTGAATGAATGAGCGAGTGCCAGGTCTTCGTGGCTCCCTTCTTTACCTATTTAAAGGCCGCCCTCTCCAATTCCCCGACCCCACAGCAACCCCACCCTCCCCGCGCATGGCCCTGCCCCATCCCCCAACCACGCTCGGCTTTCCCTCCTGCCACACAGGCCACCTTCTCACAGAGCAAATCGTGCATCTATGTCTTCACCGTTTATCACGAATCGTGTCTCCCCCTGCCGCCCCCGCCCTGCTGTCTTGCCCTTCCAGAAGGTGCACTCCATCGTGTCAGGCATTTTTGAGTAAGCTGTTCGCTCCTGTGTCCCCAGAGCCTAGAACAGTGCCTGGAACGGAGCAGGGGGAGGCAGGGACAAATGAGCCAGGGGGAGAAGCAGGCGTGAATAATAGTTCTCAGCCTCGTGCAACAGGGGCCGGAACGGCAGTGCCCGGCTAGCCTGCCCGTTGCAAGCAGAGATGCAGGAGTCAGGGCTGGGCTGTGTGCCCTTTCCACCCCAGCCAGCAGAGCAAAACCCACCCGACGCCTGCCAGCAGCGCGTCGCCCAACTGAGCAGAACGTTCCCGTTTGTTGAAAAAGAAACTCTAGCAGGGTAGTTTAAGACGCCTGCGACGGGTGACAGAGCCTGTATGGAACCGGGTCATTTGCTGTGTTCAGTCTTTTCCTGGGCCCCTATCAGAGGTGACTCAGGCCCTAGTTCTGGGAATCCCGTTCTCTTGCGGTGGTCGGAGGTCAGAATCTGGTGCCCCAAGGGTTTCGTTTGGTACCTCCGTTCGCGCTGGAAAGGGAATGCGTACCCGGGTCCCGCGAGTCGTTGGGAGCTGGGCTCCCGCCGCCTCCCGAGCCCGCGCCGCGCCCCCGCCCCCGCCCCCGCCCATTCCCGGCCGCTGTCACTCTCCATTAGTGCTAACAGGCTCCAGACGGAGCGGGTCCGGCGCTGGGTTAATGCAATCGGCGCGTTACCTGGGGCGCAGGCTACATTACCAGCCCGGCCCCGGTCCGGCGCGGCCAGAACCAACCAGCCCGTGCCCCGCGGGCCACCCCGCGCCACCAGCGCTCCTCGGGGTGAGCCCGGACGCCACGCGACGGAACTTGGCCCCAGCCCGCGCCCCACAGCCGAGCCAGGCGAGGCGGGTTCCGGGCTTGCAGGGCGCACGGCATCCGGGATCCCGTTGCTGCGGGACATGTGAGTGCGCCCTGCGTGTGGGACCCGGCTGGATGGGTCGGGAAGACCCAGGCTGGGGCGCGCAGAGCTAGAGTGCTAGCGAGTATGACGTGCAGAGGTGTGCGTGTCCGGGGAGGTTTCTGGGGCTGTTGAGGGGAAAGGGCAGCCAGCTGCACCGGGCTGGCCACCGCCCTGGGAAGCCTCCGCCTTGGCGTGTCCAAACCCCGTCATTTGGGACTGAGAGGGAGCGGCCAAATGAGGGAAGGGCTGCCAGGTCCCAAGCCCGACCTACAGGGCGGGCAGGAGAGGTCTCCGCCTCTAAGTTCCGTCACAGTCCAGCGCGCCACTACCTCTGTTTCCAAATTGTTCCAACAGACGCGCGCCCTTTTCTGAGGACTGCGTCCGCTCAGCGCGCGCTGACCGAGGTATCCCCGGCGTTCTCGGGAGGCTTCTGGAGGTGCAACCAGGGTGGAATGCCTAGTGACCACATCTTTTCCTTCTATCCAAACAGAGCCTCGGCGCGCTCCCAGTACCGCGGACGTCCCTCCCGCCAACCGCACCCATGCTTCTGGCACGGATGAACCGGCAGGTGCAGCCGGAGAATAGCGGGACGGACTCCGAGTCCGAGCAGCCCCTGCCGGCGCGCAAAGCTGCGGAGCTGTTGGTAGTGAAGGAGCGCAACGGTGTCCAGTGCCTCCTGGCGCCCCGGGGTAGGGACGAGCAGCCCCGGGAGACCTGGGGCAGAAAGATTGACTTCCTGCTCTCAGTGGTCGGCTTCGCGGTGGACCTGGCCAACGTGTGGCGCTTCCCTTACCTCTGCTACAAGAACGGCGGCGGTGAGTCCCCGGATGAGCTGGGGGTTTGGATTTGGGAGGCTACCTGTCCGCGGCAGTGACGGGGAGAGGAGATGGGGTACACACGGAGGAGAAGAGGAAGCCCACGGGCAAGTCTGGGGAGCAGGAAGGGTCTGGACAGGGCTCATGGAAATGGCATTGGCGTCCACGGTGGAAGAGGAAAATCGAGGCATGAACTTGGACAGTGAGGGTCGCATGGGTGGAAGGGGTGAGGGGGAAACCGGCACCAGGGTGGGTGAGGACCCCTGCCCTTTGATGGTCCACGGGAAGGGAGGTGGAGATTTGGAGAGCTCAGGAAGGGGCGCCAGAAGTGCACAGGAGGTGACAACCAGGCACACAGTGTCCCTAGATCCAGCACCACTACACTTGATAGAAGACTTGGGTTTGCTGACGACACTTGGGAAGCCCTGTGCTCCGGGGACAGAGACAGGCAAAGAGAAGCTGGTGTCAGAGGGAACTCCACTCCCAGCTGATGTTTTGCCAGAGAGGCCAGAACCCACAAGCTGGGTGGACTTGGTCAGCAGGTCCCAAGAGCTGGCCTGGTTCTGGAGGTAGGGGGCCTGGGTGATTGGGACGTACCCTCCGCCTCCTGGGGTCCTGGCCACGTGGCAGGGTAGAGGGGGACAGGGGCCTGGAAATAGCAATTAGGCTATCTCCCCCCTCTCCAGGTGGGTAACATTCCCTACCTGCCCTGGGACAAGAGCTTCAGAGACCAACCACAGCCCCACCAAGCATCAGAGCCCCGGGCAAAGTGGCCCAGGGGACAGGATTCTGGGCTCTAAGGCCCTAGCTCCGTCCCCAGGGCCTTTGCTCCTGGGTGCCCAAACCACTCGGTCCTGCCCCTTTTCCTGGGATGAGCTAAGGGGTGCCCTGTGGAGAGCCCAGCGAAGAATAAGCTAGAGGCAGAAGTTGGTGGAGGGGCGGGGGCCCAGCTCCGGAAACCGCTCTACCCCCTGGACCATCCTGCCTGGCAGAGCCTTTGGCTCGGGACCTCAGGGGTCAGAGACAGACAGGGAGTGGGTTTGGAACTGGGCGTCAGGGCCTGGGACCCAGCTCTTTGCTCCTCTGTGCGCACTGGACACTTGCTTCTCGTTCTGGGTGAGAAATGGGCTGCATGATCCAGACAGAGGTCCGACTTCTCCGTGTTTGGCGGCTGCGGCTTCTCAAGGGCTTCTGGTCAGGACAGAGCATTATGGCCCTTCAGACCCAAGAAGGGAGGCAATGCAGATTCGATGTTATTTTAACAGGGAGGTGATGAATGAAAGATGGACTGAAAGACCCTAGGCCATGCCGTCCAGCATGTCCTCAGTGACTGACCGAGGCTGCTTGTCGATAGCCAGCGGAAGGTCCGCTCATTGATCAGTGTTATTGACCAGGTTCTTCTCCGTGTGAGGCCCAATGGCGGCTCTGCCGGGGTCATCTAGACATACTAACCACCCCATCTGCCTGCCAGGAGTTTTAGTCACCTAAGTCATGCTGCTAACAAGTCATTTCCATTGTCGCAAGTGTTGAAACTAAAAGCACCCCAGGTGGCCAATCAGACACATCAGCTAGATGGGTATCTTGGTGTATCCCTGGCTCCACATGCCCTTGGCCCTCGCCACGAACACAGGCAGAGTGTGTGCTGTATGCCAGGTGACATCCCAGGTGCCCGGGGCACAAAACGGAGCAAACCTAGCACAGGTTCTAATTCTTAAGCGAAGTTGCCTGGAAACCCCCTCCCCTAAGCTTGCCAGTCCTGCACAGAGCCCACCTTGGGCTGTTTGGACCCATGTGTCTCTTCGGGAGTCTGTCTCCTGAACAGCCTGGGGCGCCTTGAGAGCCGGGAATGTGGCTTTTCATGCCTGTGTTTCTAATGCTCAAGATAAGGTCTAGATCCTAGGAATGTGGTAGAAGGTGCCCGGCAAACTTCTAAGGGCTGCATATATTCATGAAATGGCCAGAGCCCTCAAAGGCTTGGTCCCTCACCAGACACAGCAGGACGCCTGGGGGTAACTAGGGCCGGGGGTGGGGCTGGGGCTGGCAGCCTGGAGAGCAGGAGCCTGGATTCCAGCTTCCAGCAGCAGGACTGTGGGTGACTCTGCAAGCCTCAGTTTCCTCATCTGTCAAATGGCTTTAAAGAATGACATTCAGCTCCGAGGCTCACTGTGAGGACAAAGTGTGCCCATGGGGAGGCTGGCATGGAGGATGGCCTTCGTGCCAGCGGCTGCTGCTCCTTCTTGGCATCGTTAGGATGAGCTGTGAAACGGAGGCAGGGTGGTGAGCGTGGCTTAGGAAAAACCAGAGGTGGGGGGCTGAGGTCGGAGCTCAGCTCCCAGGGATGGGAGGGGCACGGACAGGCCTGGGGTCGGGGGGCGGGGGAAGGAGATATTCTAGTTGTTCAGGAATGCGCCTGGGATCACATCACAGACTAGGAGAGCAGGCTGAAGGGCAAGCTGAGAGAGATAAGGGTGGAGAGACAGGTTGAGGCCCAGCCATGGAGACCTTGAACGCCAGGCTAAGGGTGGGGAGGTATTGGCAGTGGCTTTCCATCTGTGGCCGGGGGGCCCACGGTTGGCACACCACAGCTGGGCGGCGCCGGTCAGAGTCCAGGGCAGCTCCTTCGGTAGCTGATGCCTCCCCGCCCCCCACCCCTACCCTGTTCAGGCGATGCTCAACAGGCCCCTCCTGGGCTTAATCTCTGCTGAGAGCTCCCGGTTGCTCCTTGTGGATCAGTTGTCACTTAGTAATTCTGAAACCTGCCCCAGAGGTGGGCAAGTGGGCTGGCAGGCGGGGATCCCGGAATTGAGGAAGCAGCCCAGAGATCTGAGTTTGAATCCCAGCTTGTTAAACCTGGGCGTGGTGCAGCCTCTCTCTGAGCCCAAATTCCCCGCTGCAGCTGGAGGTGAGCTCAGAGGACCCCCACAATCCGGCCCTGTCCTGGCCCAGCGCTGCACGCAAACCAGGGCTCACCACCCAGTTATCTAACCGCCTATGTGTTCTTCTGGTGTCAGAATGAACACCGTAACCTCCAAGTCTACTCGTTCCTGCTGGAGGCTGTTTTGAAATAATAGAGATGTTGCTAGTGTAGGCCCTTGGCTAACATTTCCTGAATGACTCGCTGGAAAAGACCAGCCTCCCTGATTATCCTCCTGCAGGCAGATCCTGGGGTGCATGAGTGTGGGGGGCTTCCGGGGGGAACGCCACTCTCGAAGATTCCAGGGTTGGCTTTATGCAGAACCTTCTCATCCAGGGAGGCAGTGCCCAGTAGGTTTCCAGGTTTCTGGATTGTCCCTCTGCACCTGTGGTCTTGAGCCTGGCCTGTGCTGGCTCCTGAAGAGGAGTGGGCCACTCGACTGGGTCCCCACACCTGCCTCCTGGCCATGGAAGGGGCCCCTGCAAGTTGTCCTTTGCAAATAGATGCTTTTGTCTGCGACGTGTCATGCTGACAGCTCTTTAGGTCCCGACAGACCCGAGTTTGAATCCAGGCCCGACGTTTCCAGAAAACGTGGCCTTGGACAAGTCACTTGTCCTCTCTGGACCTCTGTTTCCTTGAGCAGAAAAGGAGAGTAATTGTGCCTTCCTGCAGGATGGTATAACATCACAGAGAGTGTGCACGCAGAGAGCTCAAAGCAGAGCCCGGCACATCAGGGGGGGCCAACGGATGAAGTTGTCGCTATTAGGGGTGTTGCCCAATGGTTTCTAACCACAGGTTAGGCCCAGGCGTAGCACAGGGCACTGACTTTGGAGGGAGCAGAGCTGATTGTAAGAGGAAATCGGTGGACATGGTCACCCTTGTGCCTGGGACCGAGAATGAAGAGCCGCGCGGCCCTCCATTCCGACAGCCCAGCCTTGTGTTGCTGTCGTTTCCTCACCCGGAGAATGGGGGTCAACCTTTTCCTCATGCTCATGGGGCCCCATGTGGTTCTGGGTCCCAAATAGGGTTCCCCAAGGAAGCTCCAGGTCTCGGCTACCCACAGCCCTTTAGGAACCCTCTGGGCCAAAATAGCTGGGTTGCTGAGGCTGGGTGGCTGGTGCAAAGGGCAGGAGCCTGCAAACCCGGTGCCCCCACACCCAGCCCGGCTGTGAGGGCGCTGTCTGCACCCCACGCTTGCCGGGCCAGGCTCAGCTCAGGCGCCCACGAGCCAGCCAGTCGGTGTGGCCCTGCTGTTGACAAGTTTGCAGGAGTGGGCGCTCCCTGGGGGCTGGGGCAGAGACCTGGGGCTGAAGTCACCTGCACGATTTGGTCCCTTGCTCTGAGCTGGCCCCAGAAGGGGCCTTTTCCAGCAAGATGGAATTTCACGGGGATAAATGTCACATACTGCCCTGCAGTCCCAAACCCAACTGCCCAAGTAAGGGCCAGGTCACAGCATGAGTGGACAAAGTCCCCAGAGCTTCCACTAGCTGCGTGGAAGTCGCTGCCGGCATCCATTTATTGAACCAAAAAGCACCTACAAAAGGCCCATCCTATGCCCGGAACATCGAGATGAGCAAAAGGCAAGCCCTGCCTTTAGGGCGCTCATGGCCTATTGCAGAAAACGTAGAAGCTGGTGTCAGCGCAGACCCTGTTACGGGACGTGTGAGACCCTAAATGAGGGAGGTGAGGCCCTGCTCTGTGCTTTGCGGGTTATAGTCCGTCTGTCCTGTCGCTCTGAGCCTCCCACACACCCTCTCGTTTGTTCCTTTTAAAGAGACCAGGAGGGAGCAGGTGGGAGAGCAGAACCTTTGGGCCGCTGTCAACAGAAACCCAGCCCAGGCTCTGCCAGGCCGACAGTGGGCGGAGTGGTCGCACGAAGAGGGGCAGCCCCAACACTCGCTTCCCGGCCGCCCCCCGGTCCCCCTCCTTAGAGGAAGGGTCAGGCCATTGGGGAGTGAGTGTTCCTGCGCCAGGGCTGTCCCAGGTCTCAGAGCTAAGGCCGGGGTCAGCTGGGAGGACCCAAAGTGAAGGTAAGGGGGCGACCCCTTGTGGAGCCCCAACCAGCCTGCTGTCATCGCTCTGTGTG